AACCAAATACAAACACAACCTGGTTTTTTGATCTTTTAAAAGACTCTGACGAATCATTATAGGATAAGTGCATAAATCACTATAAAATATTAATTGTTGCATATGTATTCATTATCAAGTCAGATCATAAGCTGAGTGAGATTGGTTATGATAGAGTTGTAAAATAAAAAAGAAGCATTTTACTTGAAGTGAATAAGTTGAAAAAAAAAATTTATATTGCTAAATCAATAATGAAAACTCTTTGTTTAGGATATCAGAAAATTGATATGTATTTAGACTTCTACATGATATATTTTTTTGAAAATATAAATTTAATCCAGTAAAAATATTATCATTAAATAAAATGATATAATATTTAATATATGAATGATTAGTTTTCATACAAGGAAGAAATTGTTAGGATGTGCAACATATAATCAATTACTTCGTTACACGTGGAATTGAATTTGTATATAAAGGAAGATTAAGCACTTGTGAGTCTTCCAGCTTGGACCATGGTTTTTAAAGACGCATGTTGGATTTACCGTGGATCTGTTTTTGGTGATGGTTGATAGGCAGCCATGGTTGAAGTGTTTTATTTCGCTTGAACCTGTTTTGTTTCCTTTGATGTTTGAGCATACTTACCATTTGGCTTGCTTCGCCTCCAGTTTTTGTAAGAAGCATGATACTCTTTCTCTTAGCGTACACGTGGCCTCGTATGGCTGTTTCTGTGGTTGCATTAAAGGCCAGCCCCTTCTTTTCTTGTTAAAACTCCTTGGTGTCGCTGGACCCTTTATGTGGATCGCCTTTTGTTTAAGTTTGTAGGAATGGGCTATGGTATAGGTTCGGTCCAGGTTTGGTTTCCTTTGCTCTAGCGTTGCTAGGTTTGGGCTTTTTTTACATGGACTTCATTTCTTCTTCCTGGTTACATGGGCTGACAAAATATAGGCCATGTTTTGTGTCTATGACCATGTATATGTACTCGGGTTTACTTGGTAAACCGGGCTGGGTCCTTTTACCCTTGTCTTGAGCTATTTTCAATACAAATACATAACAAAAAAAAAAAGATAAAAGAAAAATGATAAAGAAAAAAATTAATTTGAGTCAATATTTTAGCATAGCCAAGTTCTTAGGGAAAAAAAAAAATCATCGTGGCAAACCCTAGCATAGCATTGCAAGGGGAAAAAGGAAGAAAATAAAATCTATATTTTGCTCACAAAAACAAAAATCCAAAAATAAACAAATAATTTAGTAACAAGTTTATTAAGACTTTGTCTAATATTAAATGACAACTTTATTTTATAATATTATAGCATTTCCCTCTAAGAACTAGATAATTTGTTCTTTATAGCTGGTCGTGATGTTGTATAATATTATTGATTTTTTTTATTTTTCAACTCCTATATAAGTTATTTGATGTCATACAATCTATATAGGTTTTTAGAGTGTTTAGGTGTTTTCATGTAAAAATAGGTCAAAAATCTAATTTTCTAGCTATTTTTATGATGGTTTGATTTTGAAAAGCAAATGACATGTAGTTTGTTTTGACAAATAATCTGTTGTTATTTTATTTTATTTTATTGGAAAAAAGGTTCATCCCTTATAAAAAGAAGGAGAAAAAAGCCTAGGTGCGCATTGTTCCGGTGGTTGGAAGAGTAAACTAATCAATTACGACCTCCTTGGCTCATATTGTTATCAATAGAAGGCTCGTTGTGTTTCAGCTAACCATGCATCAAGAAGACTCCCTTGCTTTGGCTCGTAGATTTGATTCTTTCTTGAAAGCAGACCGCACCGCACAGCTACGAAATGAAATGAAGGTAGAAATCGACGAACACAGCAGGTAATGCCGCTGTGGATGGCATAGTCAAGTGGTTCTGAACTCGACCGTTAATTGTTCAGTCTCTATCTCCTTTAACTTGGATGAATTCGACTGAGATGGCTGATATTTGTAGGAGTAGGTATAATTAATTACCAATTAACAACAAGGAGGAGGCGGTTTTAGTGTAACCCTCCTCTCTCTCTCTCTCTTCTTTTTTTTCTTTTTTTCCTTTGATTTTTTTTTAGTTTTTTCATATTTAATTTTCTTAAAGATTACATTTTATAATACTTTTTATTAACAAAAAAAACCAAAAAAGAGCAGGGTTGTTTTTCCGTACCCTCCCCATAATAGTTTTTTTTGTTTTATTTTTTTTAATTTTATCTTTTAATATTAAATTTATTAGAAGTTGAATTTTTTTTAATTTATTTTTTACGTTGTTCTCTCAATTTCATTATCCATGCCGTAAGTTGACATGTTAACTTGGTTGATTTAACTTTTATTTTTGTTTAATTTTTTTTAATTTTATCTTTTAACATTTGATTGATTAGAAATTAAGTTTCATAATTTATTTCAGTTTGTTTTCTATAAATTTTATCCTTATTTTATGATCTGAGTTGACTCAAATTATTTTTTAATTGATTTTTCAATTATAATTACATCCTTTAAATATCAGGTTTATTGGATATTGAACTTTATAATTTTTTAAATTTAATTTTTATGACTTTATCATAGTCTAATGACATGGACTGCTAGTTTGACGGGTTAACTTGGTTTACTCAATTTTTTTAATTTACTTATTTTTTTAATTTTATATTTCAATATTGGGTTGATTGGGAACTAGGTTTTGTGATTTGTTTTAGTTTGCTTTTTACGACGTTATCTTCATCTCATGACTCAGGTCACGGGTTGACAGGTTAACCCGAATTGACTCAAGAAGTTTTTTTGTGTCCTTCTTTTAATCAATTTTTTTATTTATCTTTCAAAAATGGGTTGATTAGTAATTAGGCTTAATGAATTGTTTCAATTTATTTTTTATTAGATTATCCTGGTTTTGTGACTTAGGTCGTGAGTTTAGTAAATTAACTTAGTTGACTTGGGTTATATTTTGATCATTTTCATAATTATTTTTTTTTAATTTTATTATTCGATATTAAATTTATTAAAAATTGATATTTATAAAATTTTTTTATTTTATATAAAGTTATCATGATTTTATAACTCCACGTGCAAATTAACAAGTTAACCTAGATAAATTCAAATTCATTTAATATATTTTCATAACAATATTTATGAAAAAAATTTATTTTAAATATTTATTATGAATCAAACTATATTTTTACTAAGTATCCGAGTTGTTTTCAAACCCGTCATGAAGATTAGGTCAGTTCCATATAATTTAAATTTGTTTAAAATATTAGTAACACCTAGATAATTTTTTATATTAAAAAAATTGATGTTATCCACGACACAATAATACATTGTAATTTGCTATTTTTCCACTTAAATAGATGCTGGCATTTCCCTCGGCCTATTTATAATCAAATATTAGCAAATGCCCAGACAACTCCTCGAGGAATTTACATCATTAGCCCAGCAGGACCCAAGTTGTTAATTTAGCAGGCTCAGCCTATTTTTTCACATTTTTTTTAAGTTCTTCCTCTGAGATAATAATAAAATTGAAAGGGCAAAAAAAATTGAGCATAGGATTTTTTCCTAAAGTCTATTTTAATATACTGATATACGATAGAAGAAGAGGCTACACTCACGGATTTTAGTAGCCGTCCGAGCAAATTATTGCAAATTATACATACGTGTATGTACGTACGTACGTACGTATGTATGTGTATATAGCTTTGGTTAAAAATGAATCTTGCTACTAATAAATGAGAATCCATTAAAAACGAAATAAATAAAAGGAACCTGTGAAAGAAAATTGCAATTTAATTGGAAGGCTGAGAGGGAAAAATTATAAGGTGAAGGCAAGCAAAGACATGACAAAAAAAATGATAAAAAAAATAAAAAAATTGTAGTTATATTATATTTATATTTATAATTAAGGCAGTAAAATCAAACGGATTTGAATCTTCATTTTAGTTAGGTGGTCGTCGCTCGGAGTCATCTTCAACAATTCACAGATCATTATTACTCTTGGATAAGCGAGCCTGCATCAAGTCAATTCCAGACATAGCCATAAAACTCCATAAATGACACTAAAATCTCTGGAACTCTGTGGGGATAATTAATCATCAGATTTCATTTTAATGGCAGTATTGGGAAATACACAAAGTCAAATCACAAGAAAATAATCTATAAGATTCCTAATTTATTTCCCACTGAAAATGCATCAAACCAGCTGTCTCCCTCAACTTCCAACCTACTAATGATTTCAAATCCCAACGTCAATGACCTGCACCTATCTTTCCCCACCATGGACGCTCTCTTCTCGAAACCTGGCAATGATTCTGACCACCCCCGCCATCCCAATCCAGTGTCATGAATAGCTGTGCCGCTCTACGCCTAGCCTCTCTTCTTGAGAAAATTATGGGCTAATTATTTATCAAGTCCATAATTTTTATTTTATCATATTCTGAATTTACCAATTTTAATGGCGGCACGCTGCATTGTGTGAGTCACCGTGTCAAAATTATAAATAAAAAATAATCTTGAAAAATCAAATTTTTCGTACTTTGTTTAAGGAAGGAATGCCTTTTGGCTAATATGCTGCCTAGTTCCTGGCCATGCGAGGGTGTTTAACATAATCTGAAGTGTTAACCCATAAAGATGTATTACAAAGTGAAACTACAACAGACACGAAAATTAGTAAACAATGCCATGTACTTGTGCTGGACGCATAGATTTATTCACAGCTTGCAGCTAATTCATTTTGAGTCTATTTGTTTTTGTATTTTAAAAATATTTTTAAAAAATTTAATTTTTTTTTATTTTTTTATTAACTTTAAATTAATATATTTTTAATATTTTTAAATTATTTTGATGTGTTAATATCAAAAATAATTTTTTAAAAATAAAAAAAACATTATTTATATATATTTTAACACAAAAAACTATTTAAAAAACAATAATAACTACACTTCCAAACAAAATATTTATCAAAAGAAAAAACATGAAATATTAACAGTTTGATTTTATTATCCGAAAGTAAATTTTCACTAAAAGCTAAAAGCATAGATAGATGAGATTCTACAACTCTAATATTTGTACTTTTGCCATTACATAAACCAACAAATGTACAAAAGTTAGAAATGTCGCTCAGACATTTTTTGCCATTACATAAACAAAAAACCAAGCTATGCATGAACTAACTTATAAAATTTCAAGTCACCAAGAAAAAGAAAAAAGACTTCCACTTTATTAAGCAACCATTCATTCTACACAGGAATATTTTGTGCTCGGACGGAACTTTCACGTGCAGAACAGCAAGAACCATTTCATAAATCACATGACTAGCAACCATAGTAATAATGTAGTTGCTTCTCGGAACCTGTACTAGAGGTGTCGGTCCTCATAGAGAAGACTCCATTCCAGATCTCAGTGAAAGCTCTAATAATAACCCCGTGATAGTAAGGCGAATTGAGTTGCAAGAAACAATCAAGAAGCTGTCTAAGATCATCTTTCGAGTAAATCTCCTTCTCCAATATCATCTGCAACATTGAGTGTCTAAAATCCAAATAAGGGTCATTAGAATCTTTCTCAACAGCAACACTTTCACCTCCAACACGACCGAATCCTCGTACAGCTGTTGAACACTTCATGTTGTTGCCTGTGTCGGAGAAGAAATGCGGTGGTGTGTCCATTGCTGGAGAAAATGTGTTCGGGGTGTCATGATTTTCATGGCCATTTGGAGATTGGTTTGTTGTTATTTTTGATGAAGATGTTGAAGTAGAGGAGCAGTAGAGATCTTTTTGGTGTTTTTGGTAAGTCGGGGTTTGGAGTTTTGGTTTTGGTTTTGGTTTTGGCTGGCTTATATTGGAAAGTTTTGGTTTCTTGCAGCTGCTACAGCCCAAGTTCAGTGAGACTGTGTTGAGAAGGAACTTTTTCTTGCTAGTGGACATTGTTGATTGCTAAAAGATGCGCGTGAGAGATAGGGAGAAGAAAGGAGTCTGTTGGGATTTTCCTTGAAGAGTGCCCGAGGAAGTGAATGAGTAGAGATGAGGCATTTGACTGAGTCTTGGGGGGGTGAGGGTTCTCTATAAATCCTGCACGAGTTAAGATGGGTCCATGCTCTGCCCCTGAGTGATCTTATGACTCGCCTGTTGATATTTATTTATCACATCATGTTCTTGACCGTACACTAATTATTCTTGATCAGAAAATATTTTGTTTTTTGGTTGTGAGATCAGATAAATATTGTCATATTGGGATTGTGTAAATCAAATGTTTGACTTGGTTCTGAAGGCCATCTGATAAGCTGCATCTTTTATGATGAAAGTAGTTTAGTAACGTCACCATTGTTTTCTTCTTTCTAGTTTAATCCAAGGTGGTACTATGCCATGATTTGAAGACAGCTGTAACGAAGCTGGAATCATAAATTAATTATGAAAATATGCTTGAAGATTATTAATGGCCTTTTTCCATGTACAGTCAGACTTTCAATGTAAGGGAACTAATACTGCATAAGAAAGCTTGAGTATCGTATTAATTAAGCAGGAATTTCACTCTTATAAAAGATCACAGTCCCAGTGCAAACTTCTAACTTTTGGCACCTGACATGTTCATAACATAATCAGCTTTCACAGACCTCATCAATTAAGATGGTAAAATTTAATTTTACCTGCCAAACGACGATCAAGTTCTGTTTATGATAAGAGGACTAGTTTAAAGAAGAAAAGGGACAAAACTAGGCTAATCTCTGCCGTAGACAATGCTTCTTTGGCAAGTGAAACAATATAACAACATGCACTGAAGCCAATGAAGAACTCGAATATGTTTTAGCATGGAACATTTTCTTTTTAAGTAAACTCCCTGGGTTAGCGTAGGGAATGGTGAAAAACTATTTTCACTCAATTAAATGTGAAAGTTATTTAAATGGAAGCACATATAATCCTGATACTTTCATCTCTACCCTTATGATGCCAGCAATACCCACCAACACGTAGAAAATTTTGCTTTCCAGCCTAACACTCTGGTCAATCTATGAATACTTAAGAGATTCGGTTGAACGTATTGGAGAAAGTAGAAAATTCCCCATTTTCAAGAAATATATGAAGTTATGATTATGAAAGATTCAGAATCGTACAAACTTCGCAATAGATTAAAGGTTTGCTGCTAAGCTTTTGCCCTGGACCAACGCAAAAGGCTTCATTTCTAAAAACTTGGCCTGGCAGTATCTAGCTCGAATTTACCACAAAGAGTTAATCTTGAGAGTTACTGTTAGTCAAGTCTGATAAGTGAGACATAGAGCAAGGGCGGTATAGACAAAACTGGGTTCCAAACCTGTCCTCGTCTTAAATCATTGGCACACAGTACCTCGGGGTGTAAAAAAAAAAAAAGTGCATGAAAAAAATGACAAGAAACAAGGGAAGAAGAAGTGAGCTAACTGCATTTATAGCTGGAAGAGTGGTAAAGAAATGGGGTTACGATGGATTTGTCAGTTAACCGAGAGTTTTGTTTGCTGGGGTGATTCTCAGTTTATTTTAAATATTCCATTGATCCGATAAATAAATAAATAGAGATAGATGGGAATTAAGAAGTTAGGGTTTGAGTACACGCTTTTTGAATTGAAGCATCAAATCTGATGCAGCGGGAACTAAGCATTAATTATTCATTTGCTGAAACTAATGCTAACAGCAATGCCACTTCAGTAGACAAAGCAGAGCACATAAGCATGTATTCTATCAGAAATGTGATTATATCAAATAAACAACTGTGAGAACATTTATAGAACTGCTCATTCCACTTGCACATTCGCTTTGTCCATATTGGTGGTGGCATTTAGTTGGAAACGTGCTTTTGCTGTTATGAAGACAAAATTGGGTATTTCATTTCATGAAAATCAAAGTCACGGGGGGCAAAGCTTTCGGCGCACAAAATACAAATAAATGATGAAATAACACACAGCAAAGCAAAATAGAATAGTTTAACCATCTAGGCGGTGGCTAAGTGGTAAGAACTTGGAATCAAGGGGTTTGCTCTCTCTATAGTCTCAAGTTCGAGTCCTTGGTTGCTCATATGATGGCCACTGGAGGCTTACATGATCGTTAACTTCAGGGCCCGTGGGATTAGTCGTGGTGCGCGCAAGCTGGTCCGGACACCCACATTAATCTAAAAAAAAAAAAAAAATAGTTTAAAGATGTCAGTTTTGAAAAACTGAAAAACTTCATGATGTAGCTCTTCACTTCTTATTTCCTGATACACAAGTAGATTTTCAAATAATAAGATATGAAATTATTTCAAAATCTAATTGATATTGTAGTTATGAATTTTCTACATCAATTAAAATTTTATATGTTATATTTAAACAAATATCACATTTTAAAAATATAACATTAATTAATCAAATATTCTCTGACATCTAAATATTGTGCTTTATAAGCATGACAAGGAGATATCACATTTCAAAAATTCAACATTTGGTTTATTTTACACTTCTAAAACGTAACAAGATCAAATCATATTATTTATCCAAATATTTTTTAAAATATATCATTTTTCTAAATTTTTAAGTTTATAGTGCTAATTTGACAACAAAAAATTAAAAAAACCAAAGTTTTCAGTAAGTTATCTAGAGATTTTGCTAGCATTCTTGATTTTTTGATTAAAAAATGAATCTTGTCCAATATGGTTCTACTTCATGCAGAAAATCTTATTCCATTAATATTAATAATGAATTTATCTTATCTAACCTCTTTTCATATGATCGTCATTTTGAATGTTTTTTTAAGTCTTAATAAATTAAAAATTAAAAAAAGATAACTAAAACAAAATCCACCTTTACCATACTTTTATTGTGGGTTTTGTTTGTAATGATTGTGGATCACATTGCTCATTTTACATGCCTTTTCTTTTTGTAATTAAAAGTATTTTTTTTAATTTAATCCCTTCACTTGGTGTTTATCTCAATTTATGTGTCCTGATTAATTTTTATTTGTATTTTATTGCATGCTTGAGGTCTATAAGAGTGTTCTTTATTGAATTAGCCATCAATTTCATGAAAAAAATAACAATTTATTGCTAGGAAAATATTGCAAGAACAAGAACCAAACAAAAATAAAAAAATAGGCATTTCATTTTCGCTATTGAAGAAGCATGAAAAAATATAGTGATGCAACAAGAAGTTAATAAGAAAATAATAACAACAATAATATAGAAAAACATAAAACAATTTGATGAGTAAAAATAATTGCAGATGTGAACCCTAAATTCATAATTTTATTTTTTAAAAATAAGTATATGGTGATTGCTTTCTCAAGAGGTTTACAACATCTTTAAGTTAGAAAACACTACCACTACTAGAAAATAATTAAAAGTACAAAATCATAAATAAAATTAAAAATAAAATCTAAATTAAAATAATAAAAAAACCTTGAAAAATAACAAAATTAGCTTAACAAAAACTCATGGGTCTAATTCCAAAAGATCCAATGGTCTAATAAATGATAAAATGTCTTTCCATAAGAAAACTACTTTACAAACACATGAAAAAATTTAAGCATAATTAAATAATTGGATTTTGAGTTATTATTGTTTTAAGGTGCTAACTTAGTTTGACATGACTTAATTTTTTTTTATACCTAAATATGTCCCACTAGTCTATAAAAACTTATGTTAGGTCATCCACTTTCTTTCTAGGTGAGATGCCTATTAAGTTGTATCAAATCCTTATCGAAAAGAATATCCTACTATTTTAACTCGTTTATTACTAAACTTCACAGTAAGCTGCTAAAGCTACGGTTAACAAGCTTCGTTTGTCTATGTATTTAAGGATAATATGCACAACTAAAGTTCAATTAAATTCTCATCTTTCAGCACAAACGTTTTTTGAAAGTTATAAACTTCACAAAACTTATTTTAGTCTCCCATCTTTTTTAGTTTATAGATGATCGATCCCCTTAGTTTTCAGAAAGCTAATTTTGATACCTGAGTTTATTTTTTAGTTTTTTTTTTTATGAAAGGGGCGAGAGAGAGAGAGTTATTGGATTTCAGCTTAGAGAAAAATAATCATTGTTTACATCTATTCGGCCATTAAAATTATTGAAATTAGTGTCATTAGGTTACATTAAAAGATGATAGTCTTATGTTGGTTGTTTTAAACCTCGATATTTCCTAAAAAAATATATCTAAGTTGGGAATGAAAAAACTTACTCAGTTTGGTTTTGTTATTTGAGTCCTTTTTTTGGTTTATTTGGTTTCTACATATTTTAAGACTAGTTTTTAGGTGCTTTTGGCTTTAAATGAGTTGGAAAATTGGTTTGTTAGGTTAAAAACTCATGACCCTATTTTCTAGCCATCATTGTGGTTGACAAAATCTAGGCTGGAAGATAATGTGTCATCTTTGTGTTTCAAAAGAAAAAAAATAAAAAAAGAGCATATGACTTATTAAGCAAGCCTAGTTAAGTCATAACATCTAGTCTATTTTTTTTAATTTTTTTATTGCACTTTTATTAACTCAGTTTAATTTTTTTTTAAAAAGCAATTTCACCCATTATTATTGATGATTTATTTTTTTAATTAACTTAAAATTAAAAAAAATATAGTTTCACCTCTTATTATCAACGATTTGCTTTTATTGACTTAATCCCAGTCACTTGTAATTTTTTTCTCTTTAAAAAATATTTATTTAGAAAATATCATATTCATTTTATTATCATGTAAATCTATTAAATGAAAAATAATTTATGAAATAAAATTTTTATTAAATCCGATGACGTGCATGACTTGTATTAAGAGTTTAGTTGGTTGACTCAAGTTCACTTGTTTTTAAGATAAATTGGTTTTTTTTTACCAATTTTGTCCTTAAACATTTATTGTCATGTTCAATTGGGTTGATATTTATTGAAAATATCATATTCACTTTATTTTCATGTAAATATATTAAATGAAAAGTAATCTACGAAATAAAAAATTTAATGAATCTAATGACGTGCATGACTTGCAATGAGAGTTTGGTTAGTTTACTGAAGTTAACTTGTTTTTAAAATAAATTGGGTTTTTTTTTGCAAATTTTGTCCTTAAACATTGAATTAATTCAAGATTTAGATTTTCAAATTATTTTTTTTCAAGATTATCCAGTAACTTTTACATGTCAATCGGAATTACCCTGGTCAATCTAATGTGTTTCTTTCTCAATGTTAGATAAGAATATCATCTAATATACAATTAATTTTAAATTCATGAATAAAATATATTTTTTTAAAAAAAAAATCATGTTAGCAATACCTTTTGTTTTGTTTGATCTTTTTTTGTTGTTGCGTGGCATGGGTCAATAAACTAGCCTAAGTGTCATTTTGGTGTCAATAAGTTATATTTCATTGGTGTAGTTTAACCTAGATGTTTTTTTCTTCTCCT